AATCAGTACAACTGTCACACTCATCTGGAACACTTACAATGTCTGGCAAATCCTGTTTCTCTAGAAGATTCTGTAAAGAATGTGGAACTTCTAAATTCATTTTTAGGAAAGAGAATAATTTCAAATTGAAAGTGGCATGCTGTGAATTACAAAAAAAATTAAAAATATATGTTGCTTACCCCTCCCTTAATCCTCTCCTTTCACCTTCTCCCTTCCCTTGATTCCCACCACCAAACAGTTCACACTTGTCATTTATGTCATACTGTGTATGTGTGTGGGTCCATACTGGGGCTTGAACTTAGGGTTTGGGCACTGTCCTGAGCTTTTTTTGCTCAAGACTGGCATTCTACCACTAGAGCCATACCTCTGTTTTGGCTTTCTGGTGGTTAATTGGAGATAAGCATCTTATGAACTTTGACTGCTCCAGTTGGATTGATCCCCTTCAGTACAGTACTGTGTTAAAGGAAGGCTCCTTCACTCTTGTTCAGTGAAACATTTTCTGAGCTACCAAGCACACAATTACACAAACAATACCCAGAGCCTTGAATAGTGGGACGTGGTTAAGAATTTTTGATGAATGAACCTAAAACTACTGAGCATAGCTGAATACTATTACTCTGGATGCCTCAAAGCACATCATGGTTCAGAATTTCCCAGTGTGGAATGAAAACTTGCCACTATTTAGAATGCTGAGTCTAGTAAATTGCCCATCTTCCTCCTGGTTCTTGACTATGGCCTACAGTGTAAATTCATTTCATCAATCCTGCCCTCCTGTGAACTCTCCCTGTGTCCTCTTTTTCTCACTCTCAATCTCTAGATGAGGATCAACATCATTGCCTCCTCAACTCCACTACTTTTGCTTCCCCTTCCAAACCATTGCTTCCCCCATTTCCTCATAACACATCTCATCCCTTAAAGTTCATGTAGTGCATTAATTAGGCCTCTTCATCACTGTCATCTATGTTCCTCAATGGCTGGCAAACAGAATTCCAAACAGTGGCTGAATGGCTATCTGAATAATATTGATGGAATAAAAGATGTTTTCTTAGCCACTCTTCTGCACTTGTTTGGTGTCTGTGTCTAGCTCTTTAAAATTGTTTCTATATCTTCTTTCCTACCTTGAGTCCTGGTGAATGAACAACAGAGAAACAAAATTCATTCTTACAATCCCTTCATCTTCTAAGTGACTATATCCCTTCACATATATCAAGCATGCTGTCCACATCTGGAACTTTTTGTGGCCTGTTGTGAGACCACAATGTTTTATGTTTTCATCTCTCTTCTGCCCTACAGCCAATCCATTGATATTTTGATCTCTCCCCAGTTTCTTGATCTTGTTTTCCTCTTGACCCATCCTAGACTACTGTCTTAAAATGTACTTAACAACACCTATTGTCTTTTCTCTCTTTAGTTCTAATCCATTTAAGGGTACAGCTAGGTTAAAACCACCAACTACCTTCTTTTAATCTTGCCCGGACTTCTGAGCACAGCTGGGGGAACCACAAACTTGAGAACACTGCTACTACCCATTACTTATCTCTGCAGAATCTTAGTTAGCTACATGAGTTCTTGTCACGGTGTTTATCATGTCTCCCAGTCACTCCTCCACACCTGTTTTGCCTCATTCACAGCTGGTAACTTTTCTTTTTCCTTTTACAAACACAGAATTCCTTTATTTTCTGATTTTTCTACCTATGAAGTGGTCTAGTGACCAGTGCTTCCTTCCTAGATCAGCATCAGGTTTTATTCCTGCTCTATAATCTTTCACACCCTTCTCATTCTCTTCTATCAGCTCTGGGCCTTGTTTCCTCAATTATTTCATTCATTTTTTTGAAGATTTATTATGCACTGGGCCCTATTCTAGATGCTGGCAGACAGAAGGAAGACCAAGAATAAAATCCTGTATCTCACTGGAGATACGGAGGGTGAAATGTCTATGAAAGACAGAAAATAACCAAGTTGAAACTTCAACAAACAAGACAATTTCTCTTCATAGACTTCAGCCATGGGATCAAGAGGAAAAACTAGTACTTACTATTGCAGTAGAATTTAAATGAGCTTAGAGCCTTTCCATCAGTGCCTCCTGCCTCCAATGTGCCCTAGGACTTACTCTAAAGACAGAGCTTCAACTCTCTTTGCCCCTGAATAGCCCTCAAAAAACTACATCTCTTCTTTCCTATTATTTTGTCTTTCTTAGAAGACTACTATATACAAGCCATTATGTTGTTTTCTAGGCCACCTTTTTAGCTGAAAATGCATGTTAAAAAACACAACAGAAAGATAAAGAAAAAAAGCTATTATACTGCTTAATTGTCCAATCACTGTTCACTTCTGTTTGCTTCTTCACTATCACTTCACTGAGTCCATTCCAGCAAAGGTATCTAATAACTATCACTCCACAGTAACAAGTTTGAGTGGCATTTTATAGCCATATACTATTGTACCTATTCTTCCTCCAGGGCACAGACTATACAGTTCTTTGAGGTTACAGTCCAAGCTACTGCTCATTTATGACTCTTAAATGCTGATGTTAAATGTAGAGTTTCCCCTTTGCCCAATTCTCCTTTTAATGTATTCATAAAGTATGTTGTCTATATAATTCTTTGATATTAACAGGAATACCTTTGATAATAGAAAATAAAATAATTACTACATTGGAGTAAAAGATGTAAATCAAGACTGTTGCAAACAAAATAGGATAATGTGGCACCTTTTAGCTAACAAATACATGCTGATTACTTGCAAAATTCAGTCTATAACACTGACACTGATCTTGAGCTTTATTTTCTAAGTCTTTGGGTTATGATTTCACATATGTATTTTAGACTCAGCATTGCCAAAATACTACTAAAAACCTGCTATCTTTATATTTCCTAACCAATGACTCAGACACTCAAGCCTCCAAGTAGGTGATTGATTTAGATTTTCCATTTTCCCTTTTATGTTTAGTCAAAAGTCACACTGAGTTAAGCATGGATGATTTGTCTAACCTACTGTTTCCTGCTAGACTACTGTCATATCAACCTTGTCTGATCTCCTTGCTCTAGCCGTTTCTTCTTCAAGTTCACTTTACACACTGCTGCTAGAATAATTTCAAATACTTCTGCACTGACTATTTCAATAACTCTGTTGCTTATAGGTTAAAAGTGTTTATCCTGATTTCTCCTGTTCACTTCTTCAGCCTAATGATCTCACTCACTCTCTTTGTACTCTACTGCTACAAAATCACTTGTAGAAACACATGCACACATCCCCATTAAGCAGCCTCTCACTTCCAGGGCTCTGGTTATGTTATTCCTTCTGCATGGAATGCATAGACATTATTTTCTCTCTTCTCTCACAGATTGCCCAGAGGGAGCTCAGTGTTTCTCCTTCAATTTTTATGCTACCTGTCCTCTCAATTGCAGCATCAGGTGTGTTCATTTACAGGTGTTTATGTTAGTCTTCCCTACTGGCTGGCATGCTTCTTTAGGACAAAGGCAATCTTAAATACATAACAAATATTCCCTCTCACTTTACAATATATCATCCACTGTTACAGTTCTAACCAACAAAATTAAAATAAGTTAGGCTAAATTTTGAAATGAATGAACAGCTTCATTACTATTGCACTTTCCCACATGTGCCCATGTTTTATAAAATCATCAGTAGAAAGATTAAAAATGTGTAGGGGCTTCAGCTGCCAAAAATTTGCCATGTTTTATGAAATTAAGAGTAGATCTTAGTATAAGAGACAGGATGATTAAATTAAATATATGTGAGTGATGTGCCAAAGTTATGAAAAGAGCAAATTGTTAATTGTTTAAGATTACAGAAAATCTGAATATATTTCAATAGTTGTTTAACTTGGAAAAAAATAAAAAATAAACTTATTACTTAAAATTTTAGCAAACATACTTTAAAAGGGAGATTAGTATTTACTATCCAGCATTTATCACATCTACCCAAACATTCCTCTCTATTATCCAAGGATGCCTTCTTATCTTTTCTATGCTCTTATGTGATTAGGTCTGGTTCCAAAAGAAGGAACTTCCACTTCGTTAAAACCCAAACACAGGAGAAGAAAAGCAAAAAACAAAATAAAATTTCTAAATAATTTGGAAGGAATTAAAAATACATAAAAATTTAAGGCATATTAATGTTACCAGACATATCAAAAGAACATTTGGTATTTCATTAACAAATCAAAAGGCAGATTTAACAGTCATGATTAAGAATAACTTCAAATTATATGTTGTTTTTCTTTACAAAGTCCTACTATACAATAGTTTTATATTTCCTAATTCAATCAAGCAATTTGTATAATCTTTTCTAATTATACCGTGGCTGACAAATCTTGTTCTGTGAACTGTGTTTATTTTTTTTGAGAAGGAAAAAAAAACTCAGGGTATCTTTAAATTTAAAACATACACTGATGCTTTCTTCGTGCTGAGGATTGCAGAGCATTTGCAGGCACTGGCTTTTTAGCTATGATACGCACTCATGGAGGAACCTGAAGAAATGGAGCACTTCTACCATGGGACACTATACCTTTGGAAATAAATTTTGTTAAAATTTTACTGGAAAGTAGTCAAAGACTCCAGATTTATTTCTTTTTATTGGCAATGTATTGATACTATAAAAAAAAACTCCCAATAAGTATCTCTGGATACTCACTGTATGTCAGAAGGTGGAGCTCTAAACATATCTGAAATACTAGCTTTTATATATGCACTTCACAAATGTGTGTAATGAGGAGATTAAAGCAGGGGTAAAGTGTTTAGGAAAATGGTTCTAAAGAATATTCCAATTCTTTCAGGATAAAATCATATATCCTAGTATGTATATGGTTCACTAACAGAAAAGATGTTTAATGTTTTTCTTTGATTTTTACATAGTTTTTATGATAAAAAGGTAAATGTATACAGATCAGGTAATAAAATATAGTGTATTTAAAAAGCAAAACATTTTGAAAAGTCACGATCACCTAGTCAAATGAAGGTAAGGTCATTAATACTCACAAGCATCTCGGATGTAGAGTAACATAGCTATGAAGATGTAGTCCACTAAACTTAGGCTAAGGCCATCTGCAAACAAGGCATCCCAGACCACCAGAAGATCCTGCAGAGGGAATTCTCGGCCAAACAGCAGCCGCACCCACCGTCTGCAGAGCAACAAAACAAAAATTCAGGAAATAGGTCTTTTGAGAATCACACAAAGAGTGATCATTTTTCTCATGTTAATATGAAAAAATAACAATCGGGCACAGTGAGAAAATATATACACAAAATATATTACAATAAAATTTGAGTTTTAAATAAACACTTATTTAAATAAACACATTTTGAGTTTTAAATAAAACATGTATTAAAAATGTAATGAAGTAAAAATCTATGTTTTCAGCTTTTAAATTAACTTTAGAATTCCATACTAGGTCACAATTGTTAAACATTATTTTTATGTGTATAAAAGACATTTGTATGCTCAAAAAGACAAAAGAATTTCAGGTTTAATAGAATTAAAATTTTCATATTTTATAGAAGTGACAAATTCTCAAAAAGAAAAGAGAAAATGGATGTGTCGTTGATCTAGTACCATTATGTAAGATTATAAATTAAAAGTATAATTTTGAAATTTTCATGATCTGTACTGATTGTTTTGTTGCTATTATTTTAGATTTAAAAAAATTCAATGGCAAATTAATATAATCAAATTCATTCTCATCCTTTATTTTTATTTAAAACTTTCAGTTAAAAATTAATACAAGAAAAAGTCAGCACTACTGTACATATTTCTCCGTCAACTACTGTACATATTTCTCTGTCAAGTGTAGATAGCTATATCAGATTAGCAAAACAATGTTCTGAGCAGTGTTTTTTATGCTGATTTCTATGACCATGGGACAGGATAATAATACTAAATAATGCTTACATGTAATTGTGGAACACAGTAGTGATATTTTAAACTTTCAATAAATCATATTAAGAAGTTTATATCTAGCACTTATAGGAAAATAACAGCAATTAGATTTGGTATGTTTTAAACTATTTATTCCTACTTTTATACAACAGTTACAATTTTCTTCCACGCCTATTATCTAGGAATTGAAGAAAGAATTCTGTGTGATTCTAACACATGGCAAATTTAGAATTAAAAACTCTAAATTTCTAGTACAATATAGGGTAGAAGAAATTATTTTAGAACTAGTTAAGAGATACTAGTTTTTTTGTACAATTGAAACCAAGTGTATTAGTGGGGCTAAGGTAGGGCAAAAATATGTATCAAATATTATGTTCTTTACAAAAAGGAGCTATAGCTGTGATAAACCACACATATGTATCATAGTTTATTAGCAATAATGTTATCAAATACTTAACAGTTTTATTCATATTATCAAATTAATCAATAGAAATAATTAGATTGCATCTACATATGTTAATATTTACTACTCCAGAAAGAAAAAAAAACTATCGAAAAGTTGTTTTCCTTAATTGCAAGGTATTAACTGGTCTTGCAGTAAGTGTTAGAAGAACTGGGGATGGGCAAAACAAACAAGCACAAGAGTTAATCATTTTGTGTAGCATTGCAGAGGACTTTTAATTGACACAGATATTTGCATTCCTCAATGACTACACATTTAGAACTTGGGTACTCAGTCATTTGACTCACATCACTGTAAGAAAATTCCGTCGATGAAAAACAAATGAAGGTTAATACACAATGGGAATACAATACTATCTTTCCAGCCTCCCTTATAGCTCAAATTTCTTTTATTTTCATAGGGACAATAATGGTATTAGTTTCATTATAGATAATGCTTCAAGAGCAAATAAAGTAGCTTATTTTTTAAAAAAAACATTTATAAACCTATTATTTCTATGTCAAAATGTTCAGTTACTGCCCAAACTTCTCCTGCAACATTTCTGCTGATGGGGGTTGTATGAATTTAGTTTCAAAGTGACCCAACCAAAACAAACCTGCATGCAGCAGTCTTCACTGAAGCACTGGCAGGAAGACTAAATGCAAATTCTAATTTGCACTGAATAAAATAGTTCTTATTGTTTTTTGGGTCAAACTATCTACATATTTTAAATATATAATATATATAAATATATATAATATAAATATATAATATAAATATATAATATATCGATATGTTATATAGATATATAGATCTATATATTATAAAGGTGATGTACAAAGGTTTTTTTAGTTACATAAGTCCGGTAATGAGTACATTTCTTTTTAAACAGTGTCACTCCTTCCCTCGCTATCTCCCAGTTTTTTCCTCCCATCCCCATCCACTAGTTGTATAATTTATTTTCAACATAGTGTCTAGTGAGTATCACTGTTTCATTTGTTAACATCATCAAAACTACAAAAAACTAAGACTTTAGTATTTTTATACTTAATGTGTAATCTATGGTGTGAGGCTTTACTAAATTTTCATACTGCTTAATTCCAATTTTTACCTTGCCAAATACTTTGTTAAATAATTCTAGATCAGGAACCAGATTTGTGTGTGTGTGTGTGTGTGTGTGTGTGTGTGTGTGTGTGTTGGGGAGGAAAGGGGAGGAAAGAGGAAGAGGGAAAGAGAAGAGGAAAAGGTAGGAAAGAAAGGCAGGAAATCTAGGACAGTCTTTATAAAGAGCTTTATATATTCCACTAAATGCTTTATGTGAAGTTTACCAAGGTCTCGTTAAATGTACTGTAAAGCCACCTGTAAGGCTACTGAGAAGCAAAAGCAGAACTAAACTGAAGTCCAGACACAATTGCAATTGGTGACACAAAAATAATTCAGAACATGTGGAGGAAAACCCCAATACCTAAGAAAATATAATTTGTCACTAGATAAATAGTATGTGACTTTTATATATAATTGCTAACAATCTGTACATGCAATGACATGAAAGTAAAAAGTAGTTCCTTTTACTTAATATACAATCATAGAAAAATTAAGGTCAAATTCTGAGAATCTTTCACAAGAACCATATGACCAAATGGAATACTGTGAAACTACTAGTCTTCTTAATCACGATTGGATTCACTTCATACATATATTTACAACACAAAAAATTCCTGTGTTATTCTGTTTTCTACACTGAGCTTAAAACTCAAATTAAAACTCAGCCCTTCAAGGAATATGTAACTATTAGAAATTATTTCAGTAAGCTTTTGTATTCTTAGAAAGGAAAACTTACTCTAAGAAATAAGATCATATAAAGAAGCCACTTCTATAATTAACATGTTATTTATGAATTTTAAAATATTTAGTGGAGTTTAAGTTACACTTGGGGGTAGCATTTAAACATTTCTATTTCCCTTAATAAAAGGTTCAGTTTAATTGCTTGATATTATTAATCTTGCTTGATGTATGTTACACCTGCAGATTTCAATGTTCATATTGTATCACTGTGATAATAAAATAATTCATATTTTACTAGATCTAGTAATTAAAATTTGCACAAATAAAATGACTGTCTTGAAGTATTACATTCAAAAACAGGGGAATTTCTATTTTTGTAACTCATACGATTATTCTCAATTTTAAGTTTCTTGTGTAATTAAGCTGCTATACCAAGAGGATGAATAACAACTCATAGTGTTACTGCTTTTTGTATGACCCATAGAAACACCAAGATAAAATATATTTTTCCCCCATCAAATTTATTTAGAAATTGACCAATTTGAGGTTTCAATGAGTATAGTCTTAATCCAACATGGTTGTAATGTGTTATAGAGAAAAAGTTAAGTTAAATCCTAGCTCTTCATATCCTTTTCCTTGTATGACTCGTTAGTGAGATATCAGTACATTATTATTATAAAAACAAGTAATATAGAAAAGCTACAGTCAAACTAATTTAACAAACATTACAAAGGCATACCAAGTGATGCATGATGATGAAATTACAGCACTGGTTAAGATTTGGACACAAAAGAACAATATTTTTTGCTCTATGATATTAATTTGCTATTGTTTATGCTTTTCAAAGCTTATAATTTTTAAATATCCCAGGCCTAATATGGAATAAACACAGGACTGAAATTCTGTATCAGGACCCCCCAAAAAAATTTTAGCCAAAAATGTTCTCTGGGGTTGAGTATCTTCTTGACTGAGTGTAGATTCTTTTTTACATTGGTATTCTTTGTATTCATTCTTTTAAAATTAATTTATTCTGATTATCCTTTATATTAATTTTATGAGAACAATCTCAAATATGGAAGTTTTATAATTATGGTCCAGTTATTTTCATCTTTCACTTCTTTACAAAGTAAAATTACAAAGGATGGGCTGTAAAATAAATAACATTGTTTCAATTTCACATTTACTTTTCTAAGAGCTCTGAAGAATACATTAATGGGAGATATTTAACCTGTCTCATAGACTTAATTCAAATTTGCTTTCTGAGCGTTCTTTATAATCTATAGCTTTGCATCCATCATGAATTTGGCTTTCTGGGAACACATGTGAAACCTAAATTAGGGGTTAAATGAACCCCAAAACACACATAAATGAACCATTAAGTGAGTATTGTTGAGTATAAGGAATGTTCTCTCTTCCTTTCAGGGGACAGTACATAGTCTTTTATTAAGGTTTCTTATTCCAAAAATAAGTTCCTAATAATTATCACCCCAAAATAAATTACAGTAATTTATTTTTCACCACAAGTGTGTGAAGCTGTTTGTCAGAAGAAATGTAATAGGCCCTTTGCAAAAATAGTCTGAATGGAACATACGCCCTGTATATTGATGTTTTTCCACATACATAAAAAGTTCAGAAGGCACTGGACATAAAGATGACCATAATATGCTGTGAATTTCTATACTCTTTGAACATTCTTCATTCTTTTTTCTCCATTTCTCTCTTCCTCTCCCCTTCATTTCTTCCCTCTCTCTCTCCTCTCTCATACACATGTGCACACGTCCCTTAACCTTAGCTTGTTTTTAGATAAATACCTATTTAAAAGTATGATATTTCAAAGACTGAATCATTTTACTGAATGATTTACTAGTAATTTAATGGAGTCCCACACAGCTATATGAACAGGATACATTCTCCTTGATAACCTAACTCCAAGTTACGGTACAGCTAGAATTGTGGCTCTGACTGAGAACTGTAGGGATAAAGGTTGCTGACGTTTTCTGCCCTAGCTCTTAACTTGG